ATAGTTGAGAAATTAAAAAAGTATATATAAAGTTGAGAGACGAAAATTATGTAAAATCCTAAAGTTGAAGGATTAAAATTGACATTTAACTTTTTTTTTCGAGATATTATGGACAAATACAAATATTATTCACAAATCATTAATTTGGAAAAAAAAAAGTTAAAAAAAACAACAGCAATGGATGACAATGGGGGAAGGAAAAGCTTGGATTCATCCTCACATTGAGGAGGTTGAGGTTGATGGTAATATAATTGATGAAGGGATTAAACCAATTGGGAGGATATTTGACCTAACTAGGAGACATTAAGTGATCCATTGTAACCAAAAGATTAATTTAATATTACATAGATCTTAACATATTTAAACTAATCTTTTTCATTTGTATTTTGCTAAAATCAATCCAAGACCAATTGAAATTACCACTGGTTTTGTTACGCCATTAACTTTGATACAACTTGTTGGGGAGACATTAAATAGCATATCACATGTTTGAACACCACATTATAACCAAAAGATTAATCTAACAGTTATATAAGTTTTGACATATTTAAACCATTTTTTTTTCTTTACATTTCAACAATGTGAATTCTTTTTGTTCTTCACATTCACAAAGGAAGCATATTTCAACAAACCAAAAAGATAAAGAAAAAAAAAAAAAAAAACTTTTCATAACCTTGTAAATCCATAAAACGCAAGTATAACAGATAGTGTAAGCGAGACAAAACATACATAATGTGTTATTCAGGGAAAGATCTTCTTTGTTTCTCTATTTCTTAACTGTCTCCTTACCCTCTCCACTGCCGAACCCCTGCAAGCTCTCCATAATTTCTTAGAAGCTTCCCACGATTTCTTAATTTTAAGAGAACAGGGAAAAGTCCTACCAAATACCAATCTCTATGGCAAATACAATCTACAGATCAGACATCTCCTTTTTGTCTTCTTTAATTCACTTATTACATATGGCCAAATTACTAAAATGTCACTAACCTTTCAATGATATATCTGATACATGTGATGGGAATTTGCCCAAGCATTAACCTCTTAATCTTGACATCTGTAGCAAATGAAACAGCTCACTCATGCCTACATCTCTGAGAGAATTACAATAAGACATCCTGTTTTTGATATATTTCCTTCAATAGTAATTGGTAAACAGCGTTCTTAATGTTCAGTTAAGAAAGGAAGGCAAAAAATAGATGACATCTTGTTTCTCAGCCCCCATTACATAGAACACAGACATTATTGTTGTTTTCAGACCATTTCTTCTGTCTAGCACTTGTAGATAGCCTATTCTATGAACAAAATACAGCCACCCACCTGCAGCTTATTCTATGAACTTAAAATTAAACAACGTTAAATTTCTATCGTGGAATTTACCCACATCTCTTTTCAAAAGTAATTGGTAAACAATGTTGTTCTTAATGTTCTGTTGCGTCTAAGAAATTTGTGCTCAGAGCACTTGCAGAAACCGTTTCACAAGAATCGAAAAGGTATTCCGATTTAATAATAATATGACTGAGAAATGTGAACAGTGAGGTTCCAGGGAGTTTATATATTCCTTCTTGCTATTCTATTCAATTTGACTTTTTCTTTTTCTTTTTTTTTTTTTTTGAACATGGGCAATTAGGGGGAGGGGGAAGGGGATGAGAAAGGGGAAGGGATGGAGTTTGAACTAACGTTTTCAGGTGAGATGTACTTTTTAACAGTATTTAGGTGAGCACTCATGGGTTGTCTATTCAATTTGGCTTATGACGTTATTGCCAATCACTTGTCAAAATGATACAGTCACTCTGCCCCCACTCATTAATAGTATTTTAATCTCAAATCACAAAATGTTCGATGTCAATTTTTGCTAAAATTGACTGGGTTGATGGTCCTATAAC